GTTAGTCCTGGAAACAAACACAGGTCACAGCTCAACTGCGCCCACTGTCGCTTTATGGAAACATAGCGGGATGGGTAGGAAAGGAGAGGTGGGCGCACACACACGTGGCTCAGGCTGACTTAGGCGGGCACAGTGGGGACTCGAGCACACGTGCACACACGCGCACACACACACACACCCAGCAGCTTTGCCTCCTTGGGGTCTACAGTCATCAAGGTGACATGGGCTGAGAGCTGGATGCCGAGGCCGGTCGTCCACACCACCTCCTCCACCGGACGAGCTGGGTCACACCCCACTGTTTCTCAGTACCCCCTGGACCTGCCCCCATTTTACACACGAGGGAAAAGGAAGCCTAGAAGGGTCAAGGCCAGGTCGATGTCCTGCGGCCTCAGCATCAGAAGTTCTACAACCCAGACTCAGTCCAGGCCCCTCCTGGACTCCAAGACTGCTCTCTGGGCCCCTGAGCCGTCTTCCCAGTGTGGCTTTGTCACTTGGCCTGGAGGACTGGTTGGACATACAAAGCTAGGAAAACATGAAGGATCAAAATGTACCCTCAAGGTGAGGGAGGAAAAAGAGCGCTTTGTTTCTGTAAAGCCTGGGCTTTGGAAGTCATCAACTGTGAGTCTACGATCGTCCCACTTGGACCCTAAGTATCACCAGTTGTGGTGATTCTGCGGGGCTTGGCTTTATAAACACCACTGTTCTAATAAGGATTCAATACACTCGGCCCTCCAAAGGCGAAGAGAACACAGATGGTACAGAAATCAATAGGATGGATGGATAAACCCACATGGGAACATCACTCAGCCAGAAAAAGGAGAGAAGCAATGACACTCGCTACAATGTGAATGGACCTTGAGAACATAATGCTCAGTGAGAGAAGCCAGGCACCAAAGGCCACACAGTGTGTGATTCCATTTATATGAAACGTCCAGAACAGGCAAATCCACAGGGACAGAGAGTGCATTCGTGGTTGCCAGGGGCTGGGGGAGAGGCATGGGGGGTGACGGCTCATGGGGACGGTGTTTCTTCTTTGGGGGATGAAAATGTTCTAGAACTAGATAGAGGTGGAGGTTGCAAAACACTGTGAATGTCTTAAACGCCACTGAATTGTTCACCTTAAAATGGTGAATTTTGGGCCATGTGAATTTCGCCTCAAATAAATAAGAATATTAAGGATGTACATGCACACACTCCAAAGCTGAGCTGTTCAATACGGAAGCTACTAGCTGTGTAGCTCTGTGGACACTGAAATTTGCTTCAATTTAAATGAATTGCAGAATTCAGTTCCTCAGTGGCACTGGCTACACTGCCAGCGCTCGGAGCCTGGTGGGGCCGGTGGCAGAACATACCCACTGTGGTGGGAAGTCCTGGTGGATGGCCAGGGCTGAGAGGGGAAGCAGGAAGAGTGCATCATGGGGACAGTGGGAGCAAGAACGCCCCTTACTGGGGATGAACTGGGTGCTCACTGTTCAGGGAGTGCAGTGCAGACTGCAGGCGAGAGAGGTGCCCGACGGGGGCGGGGACACAGCCATCAAGGCAGAGGTGCGGGGCTGGATCCATCTCCATCAGGCACCAGAGCCCTGGAGCCTGGGATGTACACGGTGGCCATGGCAGGACCCTGGGACCAGTCAGCCTGCAGCCGCTACAGTGAAGGCAGCCGCCACCCAGGCCCAGGGGCGCCTGAGGCGGGGGTTTGGTGAGAGGGACCCCAGGAAGCACGGGGTGAAGGGCTCATGCATCAGGCTCAGTGGGCAAGGAAACAATCAATTAGACCACAACTGCAAGTGATCACGCCCTCTTGGCACCCATGCTGGGGCAGCCACACTTCCAAGAAATAAATGCTAAGCATGTCCGACTACACATTCTAAACTGAATAAACGGCTTTGATGTTTGCCTTTTGGCTTTTGCTGAATTATGTTTTTGGGGGGTTTTTTTGTTTGTTTGTTTGTTTGCCATAATCAGTTCTTTCTGTCGTGCTCCTAACTTTTAGATTTGTAAGTCATAGATGATCATGTGGCCACAGTGGACCTCTGCACATGTCTATGATTATGGTCTGTTCCGTTACCTTCGGTTTCTGGTAGATTTATGTCACTAACTTTATGTTTATGTCTACTTAATGGTGTATTTCAATCCACTATAGAAATCTAGAGGTTGGGACAGCCTCAATGTGAAAATTCTCTCTCTGCAAGTTTTAAAGAATATACCGATTCTAATACTAGATTCAATTAATGAACCAAATCCTAAGAATTCTCACTTCTCTTTTGCCTTATGGGTAGAAAGCCTTTCTGTGTAGAAGGGTCATTTGCAATGTACAAGAAAACTGCCACTAGCAGATAAGAATGGACTAAATCAAAGTCGGGGAAGGGCTTTCTTTGTGAGTTTGGATCATCGATTCCTTGGTGGGACCTTTTTACAACAAGCAGTGAAAAAGTCTAATAACATGGGGTGAGGAGGGAAAATGAGGGTGCATTTCAACAGCAGCAGCCATGGAGCTGAGAAATCAATTCAGAAAAATAGAGATTCCTCGCTCTGCTGATTCAATGGTTTTCAAAACCAAAAGTGGACGCGTCCCCACCCTGGCTGCGCTGGTTTTCCCAGAGCGGCCTGAGCGGCAGGCGGCTGGTCTCTTACCTGCGGCGAGGCTGGCACAGGCTGGGCCACAGGCGCCTGGGCTGCCGACGAGGGACACAGAGCCACGGAAGCCGGCGAATCTGATCCACCCTCTGAATTCTGCATGCTCAGTTCTAAAGAGAGGCGGAGAGAGAGTGAGTGGGGCAGGGCTGTCTTGACCAAGCCCAAAGAGGCAACATACACGACAGGCGAGCGGTAATGACCTGCAGTCTTCCAAGTCCAAATGCAGGGATCCTGGCCAGCCTAGGTAAGGAAGGGGAAGTGGGGGAGAGGTTGCACAACTGTTCCATAAGCAGAGAGAAGGGAGGGGGCAGGGGATGTTTTTCCAAATATAAACCCGAAAAAATAGCTCTGCAGGAATTCCTGAATGCAGGGGACAACAGCTCCCCCTTTCCCATCTGATCGGGCTCATACGACTTCTTTACTCATTTACCGACAAAACCAAAAGCTCCTGGGGGATGCTGGCCATCTTCGGAGCTACTGCACCCCAAACTATAAACGCATCCTCCTAGGGCAGGGTCTCCCCCTCGGCACTGCTGCCATTGGGCAGGTCTTTCATGTTCTGTGGGACCGTCCTGGGCCCTGTGTGGGGCAGAGCGGCATCCCGGGCCCCACCCACTTGATGCCAGGAGCACGCCCAGTCGCGACCACCGCAGATGTCGCCAGACATTGCCCAGTGTCCCTGGGGGGGGGGCGGGGGGGATGGATTCAACGCTGGTTAAGAATCACTGGTTTAGGGAGAAAAAAGGTGACAGCAGAGAAAGAAATGGCACATCCGTTTGGGCTGGAGAAAAATCCTCAGGCATTTCAGCAATAAGAAAAAGTGCCTTCTGCTCCTTTGCCCATGAGAAAGCAGACAAGTACATTTCTCTGCAGCCAGGTGTAGATATCTTTCAAGAAGGTAATTTAAAAATTCTCCACCAAAAGATTCATTTAATCTCAGCACGAAGTGGCAGACGATAGTCACTCCAGGAAAATGCTGAAAGTCAAACCGTCTTCACGTTTTAATAAACACTGGCGACCTTAAGTCTTTGGAGAAGCACTTCAATCCGCAAACTGCATAGAGGGGAGGTGGTTTTGTGGTCACACACACCTGTCCCCATCCCTGTCCCTGTCCCGTCCTGGCTGCGGCTCTGAGCACATCCCCCCAGGAGTGAAGTCTCCCAGCTCCTGATCCCTAGGGAGGCCTGGACAGCATGGCACATACCACGGTGCCCAGGACCTATGGCCAGAGCTTTGATATATGTTTCTCTACAGCCCCAAGAGTCCCCACCTCCAATAATGGGTGGAGAATTTTTTTTAAAAGCCTTTTTAAAAGAATATAAACTGATAATAGATGAACATCATTTGCCTAAGGGAAGCAGAAAGATGTGTGTGTGTGTTTGATCTGAGAGTGTTGCCTCAATCCCATCTTTACTGACTCTCCCAGGACTCCCCCATCCCCCTCCCAAATGCCTTTGGTGCCACAAGAACCACTGGATGGACCGTGGCGGTGCCTGTGGCATTTTTCTTTCCCGTGACCTTGACTCGGTTCTCACCACCAGATGTCCCCAGAGCCATGCGGTGACAGGTGCCTCCTACATTCTTTGACTCTTTCGGAGGAAGAGGGAGAGGAGGAGGGAGAGCGCGAGTTTCTAATCGGCAAACGTTTCCTGGGTCTCCAACATTCTGCAACATTCTCTGCCTTCCTGATGGAACTGACCTTTGGAATTATCCTGCTGGAAGCTGCTTAGTCGAGGTCTCTTGTTTACGGTTTTCTCTGACCGTTTTAAACCAGTCCTTTGCCCACTCTGCACCACTCTGTTCCCATCTGAAGCCAGGAAGCGGGTAACTTCAGCGGCACTAGGAGGAAATGGATTAGAACTCTCCGTGAAACGAATCCACTGGTGAGAAAGTGAGCAGGTTGACTTTCCTGAGGCCAGTCCCTTGTTCCACAGTTGAAGTCTTATGGAAACAGGGAGAACCTGTGAGTGTTGGCATAGACAGTGGGCCCGTGCTGTGCTTAGTGTGGCCAGAACGCACCTTCCGGAATGCAAGTGAGGCTAACACACTGCTGACCAGCATGCACTGTCTGTCTACCACACTGCTTAGTGTGTATCGTTTAGACCAGAGTCAGCAACCTGTTTCTGTAAAGGACCAGATACTTTCGGGCCCACCTGGTCTCTGCTACAACTACTAGACTTTGCGATCATAGCACAGGAGCAAAAATGGCTGACATGTGAACGAATGATCCTGGCTGTGTTCTAATAAAACTTTATTTATAGAAACAGGTGACAGGCCAGGTTTGGCCCGTAGGCCATGGTTGCTGGTCACTGGCCCATATAATTTTTTTTTTTTTCTGCACCACTCAGCATGCAGGATCTTAGGTCCCTGACCAGGGATCGAACCTGGGTCCCCAAGCAGTGGAAGTGTGGGGTCCTAACCACTGGACCACCAGGGAAGTCCCCGGTCCATATAATCTGGGTTTAATAAAGTGACGTGGTTTTGGAAGGTGGGGAGAAAAACTACACTGTCTGGAATCAAAGCCTGAGGCCACAGGCCCTTGATCCAGCGCCTAGTTCTCGTGGCCACGTCTCACCAACGTGACAGGACTGGAGGAGCCCCGGAGGGCGACTCAAACTGTGTGGAGGGTGGAGCTGTTGACATTTAAAGACAAACGCCAAGTATCAGACACTGCTCTGAAATGCCAGCAGTGGTCTTCCCGAAGCTTGCCAAGTCATAAAGAAAACTGATTGAATCTCAGAAACCCAGAAGCCAGGTGTAGCCCTTAAAACTTAGGATGGGAGTTTGGGCACAGATGACTTTGGGGAGCTGTGGTGGGTTGAATAGTGTACCCCCCCCGACCCCAAATTCATGTCAACGTGTAATCTCAGAATGTGACCTTATTTGGAAATAATGTCTTTGCAGATGTACTCAAGCAAAGGCTTAAGGTGAGATCATACCGGATGAGGGTGGGCCCTAAATCCAGTGACAGTGTTCTTGTAACAGACAGAAAAGACACACAAGGATGAAGGCCATGTGACAATGGAGGCAGAGACTGGAGTGACGCAGCTACAAGCCAAGGAATGCCAAGGCTTGCCGGGGCCACCAGAGCTGGAAGATCCTCCCCTAGAGGGATCACGGCCCTCTTGACACTTTCTAGTCTCCAGAACTGTAAGAGGATAATTTTTTGTTGTCTCAAGCCACCCAGTCTGTGGTACTTTGAATGGCAGCCCCAGGAAACTCACACAGGGGTCCCTACGGTGCATCCTGCAAGGTTTGGTGTCCTGCTTCTGTGCCAGGCACAGCTCAGGCAGCTGACACATATTTATCAAATGAATGAACACTTTAGTAACGCCTTAGTATTACATCTGATACTGAATTATAAAAATTTACATATAGCATTTCAGATAGTGAGAGTCTATGAAAGCACTTTATAAAACAGATAATAATACACAGAATTACTATTTCAAGAGGCAGTACAGCTAGGAAATACAAATAGGTTCATAAAGGTTTCAGAAAATGTACGATCTACCTGGTTATTTGAGGGGTAACTAAGACCCTTCTGGAAAAGGTAATGACCTTTTGAGACCGACTGCTCTGCTCCCCGATCCATTCCTTGACGCTAGGATCAGACAGACAGACTGACAGACGCTGTGTGGGACAGCCTGGCTGCTCTAATATATGAACACACAACAGGCCTATCTACAGAGAATGTGGAATCCTTCCTAAGATAATCAAGGTTGCAGGTTGCACAAAAGCTGATCCAGTTTCCTGAAAAAATGTTTTATTTGGGTCCATTAATCAAGGGCTCTGAGCACATCAAAGTTTAGGTTTTAAAAAAAAAAAAAGGCTTTTAGGGCTTCCCTGGTGGCGCTGTGGTTGCGAGTCTGCCTGCCGAGGCAGGGGACGCGGGTTCGTCGTGCCCCGGTCCGCGAAGATCCCACACGCCGCGGAGCGGCTGCGCCCGTGAACCATGGCCGCTGAGCCTGCGCGTCTGGAGCCTGTGCTCCGCAACTGGAGAGGCCACAACAGTGAGAGGCCCGCGTACCTCAGGAAAAAAAAAAAAAAAGGCTTTTATATGTATTTTTAAAAGATTTTTTGGATGTGGACCATTTTTTAAGTCTTTATTGGATTTGTTACAATGTTGCTTCTGTTTTATGTTTCGGTTTTTTGGCCGCGGGGCATGTGGGATCTTAGCCCCGACCAGTGATCAAACCCATACCCCCTGCGTTGGAAGGGGAAGTCTTAACCACTGGACCACCAGGGAAGTCCCAAAAAATGTTTTTTAAAAGGCATACAGGGCTTCCCTGGTGGCGCAATGGTTGAGAGTCCACCTGCCGATGCAGGGGACACGGGTTCGTACCCGGGTCCGGGAAGATCCCGCATGCCGCGGAGCGGCTAGGCCCGTGAGCCATGGCCGCTGAGCCTGAGCGTCCGGAGCCTGTGCTCCACAACGGAAGAGGCCACAACAGTGAGAGGCCCGCGCACCGCAAAAAAAAAAAAAAAAAAAAGGCATACAAAAGAGCACTGACTTTCAGTAATGGTGGAGCAGATTGGTTGGACTAACCCTCCTGCAGGTAACAATTACAAAATCTGGGCAAAGTTTGTTTTTTTTTAAAGCAACTATTTAAAGACACCGGAGGGTGACCAAAGCAGGCAGACACTGCCAGGGAGCCCACCCTTGAAAGACCACTGTCAGACTGGTTGGTGACTCTGGCTTTTTTCCACAAATGCTTGGGTGGCAGAAAGCATCAGCCTGGTCATCTTGAAGGGTCAGAGGAGAGAGTTCACAATGTTGTGTGTGGGGGGGAAGAAATAGAGCCACACAGCAGGTGAACCCCCAAATCCGACTATAGGGTCCACCCAAATCTTCAGCCAACTGGCTAGAAGCCACACATGTGGGGGAGTCACGGGGGTCTTGGAGAAAAACTGGCAGTTCAAAGATGAAAAAACTACGTGGCGATTTCAGCTGCTACTCACTGCAGGAGGGGCAGAGTTTGAGTCCAGCCAAGTTAAATGCCATCGGGGGAAACACAGCAGAATCCAGAGACTCTCCAACATATCATTCATGATGTCCAGGACCCAAGAAAGACCACGAGCTATGAGAAGAAATAGGAAATGGTGATTCATACCCAAGGAAAACAAACAAACAAAAGGAGTCAATTACAACCAAACCAAGATAATCCAGGTGATGCAGATAAAGCAGCTACTGAAAATAAGCTCAAGAATTTAAAGGAAGTTATATGCACAGTGAACGAACGTATGGGAATCTCAAAAGAAGAAGAGAAAATTTAAAAAAAGAACCAAGTAGAAATTCTGGAGCTGTAAAGCAAAATAACTAAAATGGAAATTTCACTGGATATGCTTCACAGCTGATTAGAGATGACAGAAGGAAGAGTCATTGAACTTGAAGACAGATCAATCAATTTGAAGAACTGAGAGAAAAAAAGTTAAAGGAAAAAAAACCCCCAAAAACAGAACATGCAATCTAATATACATGTAACTGAAATCCCAGAAGAAAAGAAGAGAATGGGAAAGGAAAAAAAAGATAGCTTTGAAGAATGGCCAAACACCTCTTAAATTTGGTGCAAGACATCAACTTACAGGTCCCTGAAGTTCAACAAACCCCAAGAAAGATAAATACAAAGAAAATCAATTTAGGTGTGTCATGGTTAAACCTCTAAAATAAAAAAAATAAAAAAACAAAAAGATAATCTTTAAAGCAATAAGAGAAAACTACATACTATATTTCAAGGGAACAATAGCATGGATGATAACCAACTTCGCATCAGTAACAATAGCAACCAGAAAACAATGAAATGACATCTTTAATGTGTTGGGGAAAAAAACCCTGTCAACCCGGAATTCTATATCCAGCAATGCTATTCTTAAAAGAAGGGTGAGGGCTTCCCTGGTGGCGCAGGGGTTGAGAGTCCGCCTGCCAATGCAGGGGACACAGGTTCGTACCCCGGTCTGGGAAGATCCCACATGCCGCGGAGCGGCTGGGCCCGTGAGCCATGGCAGCTGAGCCTGCGTGCCTGGAGCCTGTGCTCCGCAACGGGAGAGGCCACAACGGTGAGAGGCCCACCTACCGCAAAAAAAAAAAAAAAAAAAAAAAAGGAAGGTGAAAATAAAGACACTTTATGCTAAACAAAACCTGAGAAATTTTGCTGCCTATACTATAAGAAATGCAAAAGGAAGTTCTTCAGGATGGAGGGAAATAACACCAGATGTTAAACTGGGATGTATATGAAGGAATAAAGATCACTTGAAATGATAAATATGTGGGTAATTGTAAAAGACTGTATTGTTTTCTTTCCTTCTCTTAATTTCTTTAAAATGTCTATATCTATTTTTTAAAATTTATAACACTCTCTTGTGGGATTTATAATATATGTAGATATAATCTATATAACAATAATAGCACAAAGGAATGGGAGGGTAAATGGAATTACACATGCAATGTTCTTGTATTTTACATGATGTAGTAAAACATTAACTCTACCTAGTTTGTGATAAAGATGCATATTGTAAACCCTAAAGTAACCTCTAAAAAATACAAAAAGACATAGCTAAAAAACTAATAGAGGAATAAAATGAAATACTAAACATAATTGATTATCCCCAAAGAAGGCAGGAAATGAAGAACAAAAAGCAGATGAAACAAATAGCAAAATGAGTTTCCTCTATCCAGACATATTAATAATTACATTACATGTAAATAGAGTGAACACTTGAATGAAAAGGCAGACATGGCCAGCCTGGATAAAAGACAAGATTGCATTATATGCTGTCTAAAGAAACCCTCTTTAAATATAAAGGCATATATAGGTGGAAAATAATGGGATGGAAAAAGGTAAGCCATGCAAATGCTAATGTTAAGAAGGTTAGACTGGCTATAATGATCAGACAAAATTGACTTCAAGGCAAAGAACATTACTAGAGATAATGATGAACATTTCATCATAATAAAATTATCAATTTATCAGGATGACATAATCATTACAGATGTGTGTGCACCTAGTAATACAACTTCAAAACAGAACTAAAGGAAAAATCAATAAATAAGTAATCATAGTTGGAGATTTTAAACACCCTTCTCTCAGTTATTTTGATGGAAACTAAACAAAAGTTCCAATAAAGATATAGCATATCTGAGTGACACTATCAATCACATTGAGCTCATTAACATTTATAGAACACAAGCACCCAAACCTGCACTTTCTTCTCAAATGAACATGAACTATTCACAAAGATGGGTCATATTCTGGGACATAAAGCAAGTCTCAATACATTTCAAAAGAATGAAATTATACAGAGCATGTATGTACTTTGAGCATAATGGAATCAATTAGAGATCAATAAGATATCCGGAAAAATGCCAAAATATTTAAAAAATAAAAAATACGCTTCTAAAATAACCCACAGGTCAAAGAATAAACCATAAGAGAAATTTAA